GAGAAAGACTCCACTGCTCAGGCCAAGGCATACGCCATCCGTGCTCCCATGCCCCTAGCAAGTGTTGCAGCAGCCCTTGCCTCGGCGCCTTTCCAGCGCAACCGCTTTCCTCCGTGCACCTACGTCGTCAAGTATGGCAACCGCAAGGGACAAGTGTGTGGTGGCACTAACCACCCCCTTGCCACGTGCTTCAAGAAGAAAGACGACGAGTGGTATGCCATCCACGGGGTTGACAAGAAGCCGCCAAACTGGATGCGCGCTCGTAAGGCCAATCTCGTTGAGGTCCAGGACCCCTCTTCGGCTAGTGCTAGTGACAGTGCTCCTGTTGATGTGCGTATCAACCTGTTGTTTCCTGGCACTGCCATGATTAATGAAGCCACTTCCCAGTACATCGACTCATCACAGGCACCACAGTACATAGAGTTCACACTCGACAGTGGGGCCACTCACACTGTGCTCAAGGAGACACTCTCCTTCAAACCCTATCCAGCACCTATCCCTCTCTTGGGAGCTGACTCCAGCTTCACCACCCTAGCCAAGGGCACCTCCACAGTCCCATGCCCAGCCTTCCCTTCCGGCACCGTCACTGGCATGTGCGTGCCTTCACTACGCCACAATCTAGTGGCTCAAACAGAAATTCAGAAAGCAGGGCTACGCACCATCTTCTCGGAGAATGAGGACCACTGCGACATCATTGACCCACTCACCAACAAGGTCTTGGCCCGCTTCACCCTCAATAGCAGCGGCCTCTACACGCTACGCGTTCCTCTCCCACAGGTTTCAACCACCCAAGCACAGGCTCCCATCACACCATGCACATGTCGCAGCCTCTCCAACCCGACCATCCTCTATCATCATCGGTTAGGGCACCCAAACTTCCGCACGCTTGCTGACATGGCCTCCAAGAAACTTCTTCTCGGCCTGCCAGCCACACTTCCTCCACCACCTGACTCACCCGCTCCCACGTGCCTTGATTGCACCAAGAGCAAACTGCGCCAACAGCCCCACACTGCCTCACCCACAATCGCAGCGGCACCACTGGACCTAGTGCACATGGACGTCTGGGGCCCTGCCCCTGTTCTTGCACGAGGTGGATATCGCTACTTCCTAGTTATCGTGGATGACCACTCACGATACGTCTCTGTTCACCTCCTCCACACTAAGGCTGAGGCTCCAGAGGTCATCATGGCGTGGGTCAAGCAGGCACAGACCACCTTTGACCTCAAGGTCAAGCGCCTTCACTCGGATGGGGGGGGTGAATTTTGCAACGACAAGCTTAAAGCCTTCTGCTCCTCCGAAGGCATCCAGCAAAACTTCACCCTCCCTGACAGCCCTCAACAGAACGGCATAGCTGAGAGCCGCAACCACACTCTAGTGCAGATCACTCGGTGCCTCCTCAGCCACTCCAACGCTCCACACTCTCTCTGGGGATACGCTCTCTACCACGCCGCCCTCCTCTACAACCTTTACCCCCATCCGCACCTTCCCGACACCACTCCAACCACACTCTGGCTCGGGAAAACGCCCACGGCTCGCTCTCTTCGCGTTTGGGGATGCACCGCCTATGTCCTCCTCAACCCTCAGGCTCGACGCCAGAACGGTGGCAAGCTCGGTCCCAAGACTCAAACGTGCATCTACCTTGGGCACAACGCCGACTCACCTGACTACCTCTTCCTCAATCCCTCCACTCAACAGTTGGTCAGGAGCCGCGACGTTGTCTTTGATGAGACCCGCCCATTCTACTCCCCTTCGGGACGGGACCCTCTCCCTGATCCACCCTCCCTCGTGTGGGCAGACTTTGACGCGCCTCCCGACCTCCCGCCTGCTCCTGCCCCCTCACCTCCTCCCTCTCCTGCCATCCCACCATCTCCCTCTGAGGTCTCTGACCCGGCCTCACCGGTGTCTTCGGCGGCTGCTCCGCCCCCCCCCTCACCTTCCTCACTTCCCGCTGCGCCGCCCCCTCCGAGCGCACCTATCACCTACCATCGGCGGTCCCACCCTCCGGCCCCACCTCCTCCCCCAGTTCCCCCCACCACAGAGGAACCCGCTCTCCCACAGTCGCCCGAGCTGATCACGTACCGCCGGCGGCCCATTCCCCCACCCAAGCCTCCTAAGTCACCCTCTCCGACACCGCCTGCCCCGCCCTCCTCACCGGTGGCTCATGGCACCCGCTCCCATCGCGCTGCTCTTCCACTCGCAATGGTTCTTCGATACACAATGATCACACCGCCTCCTCCTGCTGGGGGGGATGTGCCCTCTACCCTTCTAGAAGACAGGCATGAGGAGCTGTGTGATCTCCATGCAGTCATTCCTCAGCTCTCACACATCTTCCCCGATATCACTGGCTCACCCTCCCTCAACCTCGCGGAGAACCCGACCATCCCTATCCCTCTCACCGTCCAAGAGGCTCTCTCAGGCCCTCATGCTGCCGAATGGCGTGCTGCCATGGACGCGGAGATTGCAGCATTCACTCGCAACCACTCTTTCGATGACGAGACTCCACCTCCAGGAGTCAACATCGTCGGGGGCAAGTGGTTGTTCCGTGTAAAACAGCTCCCAGACGAGGCACCGGTGTTCAAAGCGCGTTACGTAGCCAAGGGCTTCACCCAGCAGCGGTACCGCGACTTCGACCTAATCTTCTCCCCCACATCCAAACCTCCCACCATTCGAACGCTCATGGATGTTGCAGCTCGAGAAGACTTTGAGATCAAATCCATGGATGCCTCCTCCGCTTTCCTACAAGGACGTCTCAAGGAGACAGTGTTCATGGACAGACCAGAAGGCTTCCCAGGAGAATTCCCTCCCAACACAGTCTGGAAGCTGAATCGCCCCGTCTACGGCCTTAAACAAGCCCCTCGCGAATGGCACAACAAGGTGAAAGAAGTCCTCCTCTCCCTGGACTTCCACCCCTCAACTGCTGACCCGACTCTCTTCATCCGTCGTCATTCTGAGCCATTCTACATCCTAGTCTACGTGGATGATTTTATCCTCGTTGCCAAGGACTCGGCCCAAATGACCTCTGTCCAGGCAGCCCTGAGCAAGGCCCTCCAGATGAAAGACCTTGGTGACCTCAAGCACTACCTGGGAATGGAGATCACTCGTGATCGCAAGGCTCGCACCATCTCACTCTCCCAGGAGTTCTACATCGACAATGTGCTCAAGCGGTTTGAGATGGAGCTGTGCACACCTGTTGCCACCCCGCTGCCGCTGCAACACCTCCTTACAGCTCCTGCTGTACCCACACCAGAGGCCTGCTCTGAGCCATACCCGGAACTTGTTGGGTCCCTCATGTACGCCATGATGTGCACCCGACCGGACTTGGCCTACCCAGTCAGTGTTCTCTCTCGTTACGTGGCCCCGGGTCGCTTCACTAATCTTCATTGGAAGGCAGCAAAGCGGGTGCTGCGCTATCTTAAGGGCACAAAGTCCCACGTTCTCACACTCGGTGGGCTCTCCCCTCCTCGCCTGGAAGGTTACACAGACTCCTCCTGGGCTGATGACCAGACCGACCGGCGCTCCTCTCAGGGGTACTGCTTCACCCTCGGGAGCGGAACTGTCAGTTGGCGCTCCACCAGGTCGTCTGCAGTCTCCCTCTCCTCCTGTGAGGCGGAGCTCTACGCAGGCACCATGGCTGCTCAGGAGGCCCGTTGGTTCACCTTCCTACTCCAAGAGCTTGGCTTCCCTCAGTCAGCCCCCACCCTCTGGTGTGACAACCAGAGTACCATCCACATCTCTCAAGACCCTGTGTATCACACCCGCACCAAGCATATTGAACTTCGGCACTTCTTCATTCGTCACCTTGTGCAACAAGAGCAGCTGAAGGTGGAATACGTGGCATCTGACTGCAACCTGGCTGACCTGTTCACCAAGCCCCTTGGGAAGGTTCCCCACCATCGTCTCCTTGGCGCCATGGGGCTCTGCGCTCCTCCTTCTCCGCCATGAGTTCGATTGACGCCTCAGGGGGGGTGTTGGTGTTAGGCCCCAATCTCACATTTTGTACTTGTACTTTTATATCCTAGTTTAGTGTAGTTTGCACTTTGTGTTTGGTTGGGTGTACACCCACATCCCAACCAAACCCAAATGTAATCTCCAAGCAATCTCCAACTCACCAATTGGAGATTGCCTTGGGATTACCCTTGATTCCCTAGGATTGCCTCCTGATTCCCTCCTCATCCCTACCTTGCTCATTCCGGATGTACTTAAAGAGCTTTGAGCTCACTACTATAGTATCGATTCTAAGCTCAAGTTCTGACACTGGGAGCAACTCGCCTGGCTGGTGGGGTGTTGGGAGCAACTCGCCTAGCTGGTGGGGGTGTTGGGAGCAACTCGCCTGGCTGGTGGGGGTGCTAGGAGCAACTCACCTGGCTGGTGGGGGTGCTAGGAGCAACTCAACTGGATAGTGGGGGTGCTGGGAGCAACTCAACTGGATGGCGGGGGTGCTAGGAGCAACTCACCTGGCTGGTGGGGGTGCTGGGAGCAACTCAACTGGCTGGTGGGGGTGCTGGGAGCAACTCAACTTGCTGGTGGGGGTGCTAGGAGCAACTAGCCTGGCTGGTGGGGGTGCTGGGAGCAACTCGCCGGGGGTGCTGGGAGCAACTCGCCTGGCTGGTGGGGGTGCTGTGAGCAACTTGCCTGGCTGGTGGAAGTGCTGGGAGCAACTCACCTGGCTGGTGCAGGTGCTGGGAGCAACTCGCCTGGCTGGTGGGGGTGCTGGGAGCAACTCACGTGGCTGGTGGGGGTGCTGGGAGCAACTCAACTGGCTGGTGGGGGTGCTGGGAGCAACTCAACTGGCTGGTGGGGGTGCTGGGAGCAACTCGCCTGGCTGGTGGGGGTGCTGAGAGCAACTCGCCTGGCTGGTGGGGGTGCAGGGAGCAACTCACCTGGCTGGTGGGGGTGCTGGGAGCAACTCGCCTGGCTGGTGGGGGTGCTGGGAGCAACTGACCTGGCTGGTGGGGGTGCTGGGAGCAACTCACCTGGCTGGTGGGGGTGCTGGGAGCAACTCAACTGGCTGGTGGGGTGATGGAAAGCGGGAGAATGGGGCGGGGTGATGGAAAGCGGGATAATTGGGCGGGGTGATGGAAAGCGGGAGAATGGAGCGGGGTGATGGAACCCGGGAGAATGGGGCGGAGTGATGGAAAGCGGGAGAGGGGCGGGGTGATGGAAATCGGGAGAATGGGGCGGGGTGATGGAAAGCGGGAGAATAGGGCGGGGTTATGGAAAGCGGGAGAATGGGGCGGAATGATGGAAAGCGGGAGAATGGGGCGGATTGATGGAAAGCGGGAGAATGGGGCGGGGTGATGGAAAGCGGGAGAACGGGGCGGGTGATGGAAAGCGGGAGAATGGGACGGGGTGATGGAAAGCGGGAGAATTGGACGGGGTGATGGATAGAGGGAGAATGGGGCGGAGTGATGGAAAGAGGGAGAATGGGGCGGGGTGATGGAAAGAGGGAGAATGGGCAGGGTGATGGAAAGCGGGAGAATGGGGCGGGGTGATGGAAAGCGGGAGAATGGGGCGGGGTGATGGACAGCGGGAGAATGGGGAGGGGTGATGGAAAGCAAGAGAATGGGGCGGGGTGATGGAAAGCGGGAGAATGGGCCGGGGTGATGGAAAGCGGGAGAATGGGGCGGGGTGATGGAAAGCGGGAGAATGGGGAGGGGTGATGGAAAGAGGGAGAATTGGGCGGGTTGATGGAAAGCGGGAGAATGGAGCGGGGTGATGGAAAGCGGGAGAATGGGGCGGGGTGATGGAAAGCGGGAGAATGGGGCGGGGTGATGGAAAGAGAGAAAATAGGGCGAGGTGATGGAAAGCGGGAGAATGGGGTGGTGTGATGGAAAGAGGGAGAATGGGGCAGGGTGATGGAAAGAGGGAGAATGGGGCGGGGTGATGGAAAGCGGGAGAATGGGGCGGGGTGATGGAAAGAGGGAGAATGGGGCGGGGTGATGGAAGGCGGGAGAATGGGGCGGGGTGATGCAAATCGGGAGAATGGGGTGGGGTGATGGAAAGCGGGAGAATGGGGCGGGGTGATGGAAAGCGGGAGAATGGGGCGGGGTGATGGAAGGCGGGAGAATGGGGCGGGGTGATGGAAAGAGGGAGAATGGGGCAGGGTGATGGAAAGCGGTAGAATGGGGCGGGTGATGGAAAGCGGGAGAATGGGGCGGGGTGATGGAAAGAGGGAGAATGGGGCGGGGTGATGGAAAGCGAGAGAATGGGGCGGGGTGATGGAAAGAGGGAGAATGGGCCGGGGTGATGGAAAGCGGGAGAATGGGGCGGGGTGATGGAAAGCGGGAGAATGGGGCGGGGTGATGGAAGGCGGGAGAATGGGGCGGGGTGATGGAAAGAGGGAGAATGGGGCAGGGTGATGGAAAGCGGGAGAATGGGGTGGGTGATGGAAAGCGGGAGAATGGGGCGGGGTGATGGAAAGAGGGAGAATAAGGCGGGGTGATGGAAAGCGAGAGAATGGGGCGGGGTGATGGAAAGAGGGAGAATGGGCCGGGGTGATGGAAAGCGGGAGAATGGGGCGGTTTGATGGAAAGAGGGAGAATGGGGAGGGGTGATGGAAAGAGGGAGAATTGGGCGGGGTGATGGAAAGCGGGAGAATGGAGCGGGGTGATGGAAAGCGGGCGGGGTGATGGAAAGCGGAAGAATGGGGCGGGGTGATAGAAAGAGGGAGAATGGGGCGGGGTGATAGAAAGCGGGAGAATGGGGCGGGGTGATGGAAAGAGGGAGAATGGGGCGGGGTGATAGAAGGCGGGAGAATGGGGCGGGGTGATGCAAATCGAGAGAATGGGGTGGGGTGATGGAAAGCGGGAGAATGGGGCAGGGTGATGGAAAGCGGGAGAAGGGGGCGGGGTGATGGATAGAGGGAGAATGGGGCGGGATGATGGAAAGCGGGAGAATGGGGCGGGTGATGGAAAGCGGGAGAATAGGGCGGGGTGATGGAAAGCGGGAGAATGGGGCGGGGTGATGGAAAGAGAGAAAATAGGGCGAGGTGATGGAAAGCGGGAGAATGGGGTAGTGTGATGGAAAGAGGGAGAATGGGGCGGGGTGATGGAAAGAGGGAGAATGGGGCGGGGTGATGGAAAGCGGGAGAATGGGGCGGGGTGATGGAAAGAGGGAGAATGGGGCGGGGTGATGGAAGGCGGGAGAATGGGGCGGGGTGATGCAAATCGGGAGAATGGGGTGGGGTGATGGAAAGCGGGAGAATGGGGCGGGGTGATGGAAAGCGGGAGAATGGGGCGGGGTGATGGAAGGCGGGAGAATGGGGCGGGGTGATGGAAAGAGGGAGAATGGGGCAGGGTGATGGAAAGCGGGAGAATGGGGCGGGTGATGGAAAGCGGGAGAATGGGGCGGGGTGATGGAAAGAGGGAGAATGGGGCGGGGTGATGGAAAGCGAGAGAATGGGGCGGGGTGATGGAAAGAGGGAGAATGGGCCGGGGTGATGGAAAGCGGGAGAATGGGGCGGTTTGATGGAAAGAGGGAGAATGGGGAGGGGTGATGGAAAGAGGGAGAATTGGGCGGGGTGATGGAAAGCGGGAGAATGGAGCGGGGTGATGGAAAGCGGGCGGGGTGATGGAAAGCGGAAGAATGGGGCGGGGTGATAGAAAGAGGGAGAATGGGGCGGGGTGATAGAAAGCGGGAGAATGGGGCGGGGTGATGGAAAGAGGGAGAATGGGGCGGGGTGATGGAAGGCGGGAGAATGGGGCAGGGTGATGCAAATCGAGAGAATGGGGTGGGGTGATGGAAAGCGGGAGAATGGGGCAGGGTGATGGGAAGCGGGAGAATGGGGCGGGGTGATGGAAGGCGGGAGAAGGGGGCGGGGTGATGGATAGAGGGAGAATGGGGCGGGATGATGGAAAGCGGGAGAATGGGGCGGGTGATGGAAAGCGGGAGAATGGGGCAGGGTGATGGAAAGAGGGAGAATGGGGCGGGGTGATGGAAAGCGAGAGAATGGGGCGGGGTGATGGAAAGAGGGAGAATGGGGCGGAGTGATGGAAAGCGGGAGAGTGGGGCGGGTTGATGGAAAGAGGGAGAATGGGGAGGGGTGATGGAAAGAGGGAGAATTGGGCGGGGTGATGGAAAGCGGGAGAATGGAGCGGGGTGATGGAAAGCGGGAGAATGGGGCGGGGTGATAGAAAGAGGGAGAATGGGGCGGGGTGATGGAAAGCGGGAAAATGGGGCGGGTTGATGGAAAGAGGGAGAATGGGGCGGGGTGATGGAAAGAGGGAGAATGGGGCGGGGTGATGGAAAGCGGGAGAATGGAGCGGGGTGATGGAAAGAGGGAGAATGGAGAGGGGTGATAGAAAGAGGGAGAATTGGGCGGGGTGATGGAAAGCGGGAGAATGGAGCGGGGTGATGGAAAGCGGGAGAATGGGGCAGGGTGATGGAAAGCGGGAGAATGGGGCGGGGTGATGGAAAGAGGGAAAATGGGGCGTGGTGATGGAAAGCGGGAGAATTGGGCGGGGTGATGGAAAGCGGGAGAATGGAGCGGGGTGGTGGAAAGCGGGAGAATGGGGCGGGGTGATGGAAAGAGGGAGAATGAGGAGGGGTGATGGAAATGGGGAGAATTGGGCGGGGTGATGGAAAGCGGGAGAATGGAGCGGGGTGATGGAAAGAGGGAGAATGGGGCGGGGTGATGGAAAGCGGGAGAATGGGGCGGGGTGAAGGAAAGAGGGAGAATGGGGCGGGGTGATGGAAAGCGGGAGAATGGGGCGGGGTGATGGAAAGAGGGAGAATGGGGCGGGGTGATGGAAAGAGGGAGAATGGGGCGGGGTGATTGAAAGCGGGAGAATGGGGCGGGGTGATGGAAAGAGGGAGAATGGGGAGGGGTGATGGAAAGAGGGAGAATTGGGCGGGGTGATGGAAAGCGGGAGAATGGAGCGGGGTGATGGAACGAGGGAAAATGGGGCGGGGTGATGGAATGCGGGAGAATGGGGCGGGGTGATGGAAAGAGGGAGAATGGGGCGGGGTGATGGAAAGCGGGAGAATGGGGCGGGGTGATGGAAAGCGCGAGAATGGGGTTGGGTGATGGAAAGCGGGAGAATGGGGCGGGGTGATGGAAAGCGGGAGAATGGGGCGGGGTGATGGAAATCGGGAAAATGGGGCGGGGTGATGGAAAGCGGGAGAATGGGGCGGGGTGATGGAAAGAGGGAGAATGGGGCGGGGTGATGGAAGGCGGGAGAATGGGGCGGGGTGATGGAAAGGGGGAGAATTGGGCAGGGTGATGGAAAGATGGAGAATGGGGCGGGGTGATGGAAAGAGGGAGAATGGGGAGGGGTGATGGAAAGAGTGAGAATGGGGTGGGGTGATGGAAAGCGGGAGAATGGGGCAGGGTGTTGGAAAGCGGGAGAATGGGGCGGGGTGATGGAAATCGGGAGAATGGGGCGGGGTGATGGAAAGCGGAGAATGGGGCGGGGTGATGGAAATCGGGAGAATGGGGCGGGGTGATGGAAAGCGGGAGAATAAGGCGGGGTGATGGAAAGCGAGAGAATGGGACGGGGTGATGGAAAACGGGAGAATGGGATGGGGTGATGGAAAGTGAAAGAATTGGGCGGGGTGATGGATAGAGGGAGAATGGGGCGGGGTGATGGAAAGCAGGAGAATAGGGCGGGGTGATGGAAAGAGGGAGAATGGGGTGGGGTGATGGAAAGCGTAAGAATGGGGCGGGGTGATGGAAAGAGGGAGAATGGGGCGGGGTGATGGAAGGCGGGAGAATGGGGCGGGGTGATGGAAAGCGGGAGAATGGGGCGGGGTGATGAAAGGCGGGAGAATGGGGCGGGGTGATGGAAAGAGGGAGAATGGACAGGGGTGATAGAAAGAGGGAGAATTGGGCGGGGTGATGGAAAGCGGGAGAATTGGGCAGGGTGATGGAAAGCGGGAGAATGGAGCGGGGTGGTGGAAAGCGGGAGAATGGGGCGGGGTGATGGAAAGAGGAAGAATGAGGAGGGGTGATGGAAAGAGGGAGAATTGAGCGGGGTGATGGAAAGCGGGAGGATGGAGCGGGGTGATGGAAAGAGGGAGAATGGGGCGGGGTGATGGAAAGCGGGAGAATGGGGCGGGGTGATGGAAAGAGGGAGAATGGGGCGGGGTGATGGAAAGCGGGAGAATGGGGCGGGGTGATGGAAAGAGGGAGAATGGGGAGGGGTGATGGAAATAGGGAGAATTGGGCGGGGTGATGGAAAGCGGGAGAATGGAGCGGGGTGATGGAACGAGGGAAAATGGGGCAGGGTGATGGAATGCGGGAGAATGGGGCGGGGTGATGGAAAGAGGGAGAATGGGGCTGGGTGATGGAAAGCGGGAGAATGGGGCGGGGTGATGGAAAGCGGGAGAATGGGGCGGGTGATGGAAAGAGGGAGAATGGGGAGGGGTGATGGAAAGAGGGAGAATTGGGCGGGGTGATGGAAAGCGGGAGAATGGAGCGGGGTGATGGAAAGAGTGAAAATGGGGCGGGGTGATGGAAAGCGGGAGAATGGGGCGGGGTGATGGAAAGAGGGAGAATGGGGCGGGGTGATAGAAAGCGGGAGAATGGGGCGGGGTGATGGAAAGCGGGAGAATGGGGCGGGGTGATGGAAAGCGGGAGAATGGGGCGGGGTGATGGAAAGCGAGAGAATGGGGCGGGGTGATGGAAAGCGGGAGAATGGGGCGGGGTGATGGAAAGCGGGAGAATGGGGCGGGGTGATGGAAATCGGGAAAATGGGGCGGGGTGATGGAAAGCGAGAGAATGGGGCGGGGTGATGGAAAGAGGGAGAATGGGGCGGGGTGATGGATGGCGGGAGAATGGGGCGGGGTGATGGAAAGGGGGAGAATTGGGCAGGGTGATGGAAAGATGGAGAATGGGGCGGGGTGATGGAAGGCGGGAGAATGGGGCGGGGTGATGGAAAGAGGGAGAATGGGGCGGGGAGATAGAAAGCAGGAGAATGGGGCGGGGTGATGGAAAGAGGGAGAATGGGGAGGGGTGATGGAAAGAGTGAGAATGGGGCAGGGTGATGGAAAGCGGGAGAATGGGGCGGGGTGATGGAAAGCGGGAGAATGGGGCGGGGTGATGGAAATCGGGAGAATGGGGCGGGGTGATGGAAAGCGGGAGAATGGGGCGGGATGATGGAAATCGGGAGAATGGGGCGGGGTGATGGAAAACGGGAGAATAAGGCGGGGTGATGGAAAGCGAGAGAATGGGGCGGGGTGATGGATAGAGGGAGAATGGGGCGGGGTGATGGAAAGTGGGAGAATGGGGCGGGGTGATGGAAAGAGGGAGAATGGGGCGGGGTGATGGAAAGCGTGAGAGTGGGGCGGGGTGATGGAAAGAAGGAGAATGGGGGGGGGGTGATGGAAGGCGGGAGAATAGGGCGGGGTGATGGAAAGCGGGAGAATTGGGCGGGGTGATGGAAAGCGGGAGAATGGGGCGGGGTGATGAAAGGCGGGAGAATGGGGCGGGGTGATGGAAAGAGGGAGAATGGGGCGGGGTGATGGAAAGCGGGAGAATGGGGCGGGGTGATGGAAAGCGGGAGAATTGGGGCGGGAGAATGGGGCGGGGTGATGAAAGGCGGGAGAATTGGGCGGGGTGATGGAAAGAGGGAGAATGGGGCGGGGTGATGGAAAGCGGGAGAATGGGGCGGGGAGATGGAAAGAGGGAGAATGGGGCGAGGTGATGGAAACAGGGAGAATGGGGCGGGGTGAAGGAAAGAGGGAGAGTGGGACGGGGTGATGGAAAGAGGGAGAATGGGGCGGAGAGATGGAAAGAGGGAGAATGGAGAGGGGTGATGGAAAGCGGGAGAATTGGGCGGGGTGATGGAAAGCGGGGAGAATGGAGCAGGGTGATGGAAAGCGGGAGAATGGGGTAGGGTGATAGAAAGCGGGAGAATGGGGCGGGGTGATGGAAAGAGGGAGAATGGGGCGGGGTGATCGAAAGCAGGAGAATGGGGCGGGGTAATGGAAAGAGGGAGAATGGGGCGGGGTGATGGAAAGAGGGAGAATGGGGCGGGGTGATGGAAAGCGGGAGAATGGGGCGTGGTGATGGAAAGAGGGAGAATGGGGAGGGGTGATGGAAAGAGGGAGAATTGGGCGGGGTGATGGAAAGCGGGAGAATGGGGCGGGGTGATGGAAAGCGGGAGAATGGGGCGGGGTGATGGAAAGAGGGAGAATGGGGCGGGGTGATGGAAAGAGGGAGAATGGGGCGGGGTGATGGAAAGCGGGAGAATGGGGCGGGGTGATGGAAAACGGGAGAATGGGGCGGGGTGATGGAAAACGGGAGAATAAGGCGGGGTGATGGAAAGCGAGAGAATGGGGCGGGGTGATGGATAGAGGGAGAATGGGGCGGGGTGATGGAAAGTGGGAGAATGGGGCGGGGTGATGGAAAGAGGGAGAATGGGGCGGGGTGATGGAAAGCGTGAGAATGGGGCGGGGTGATGGAAAGAAGGAGAATGGGGGGGGGGTGATGGAAGGCGGGAGAATAGGGCGGGGTGATGGAAAGCGGGAGAATTGGGCGGGGTGATGGAAAGCGGGAGAATGGGGCGGGGTGATGAAAGGCGGGAGAATGCGGCGGGGTGATGGAAAGAGGGAGAATGGGGCGGGGTGATGGAAAGCGGGAGAATGGGGCGGGGTGATGGAAAGAGGGAGAATGGGGAGGGGTGATGGAAAGCGGGAGAACGGGGGCGGGGTGATGGAAAGCGGGAGAATTGGGCGGGGTGATGGAAAGCGGGAGAATGGGGCGGGGTGATGAAAGGCGGGAGAATTGGGCGGGGTGATGGAAAGAGGGAGAATGGGGCGGGGTGATGGAAAGCGGGAGAATGGGGCGGGGAGATGGAAAGAGGGAGAATGGGGCGAGGTGATGGAAACAGGGAGAATGGGGCGGGGTGACGGAAAGAGGGAGAGTGGGACGGGGTGATGGAAAGAGGGAGAATGGGGCGGAGAGATGGAAAGAGGGAGAATGGAGAGGGGTGATGGAAAGCGGGAGAATTGGGCGGGGTGATGGAAAGCGGGAGAATGGAGCAGGGTGATGGAAAGCGGGAGAATGGGGTAGGGTGATAGAAAGCGGGAGAATGGGGCGGGGTGATGGAAAGAGGGAGAATGGGGGCGGGGTGATCGAAAGCAGGAGAATGGGGCGGGGTAATGGAAAGAGGGAGAATGGGGCGGGGTGATGGAAAGCGGGAGAATGGGGCGGGGTGATGGAAAGCGGGAGAATGGGGCGGGGTGATGGAAAGAGGGAGAATGGGGCGGGGTGATGGAAAGAGGAAGAATGGGGCGGGGTGATGGAAAGCGGGAGAATGGGGCGGGGTGATGGAAAGAGGGAGAATGGGGCGGGGTGATGGAAAGCGGGAGAATGGGTCGGGGTGATGGAAAGAGGGAGAATGGGGCGGGGTGATGGAAAGCGGGAGAATGGGGCGGGGTGATGGAAAGCAGGAGAATGGGGCGGGGTGATGGAAAGCGGGAGAATGGGGCGGGGTGATGGAAAGCAGGAGAATGGGGCGGGGTTATGGAATGAGGGAGTTTGGGGCGGGGTGATGGAAAGCGGGAGAATGGGGCGGGGTGATGGAAAGAGGGAGAATGGGGCGGGGTGATGGAAAGCGGGAGTATGGGGCGGGGTTATGGAAAGAGGGAGAATGGGGCGGGGTGATGGAAAGCGGAAGAATGGGGCGGGGTGATCGAAAGAGGGAGAATGGGGCGGGGTGATGGAAAGAGTGAGAATGGGGCGGGGGTGATGGAAAGCGGGAGAATGGGGCGGGGTGTTGGAAAGCGGGAGAATGGGGCGGGGTGATGGAAAGCGGGAGAATGGGGCGAGGTGATGGAAAGCGGGAGAATGGGGCGGGGTGATGGAAATCGGGAGAATGGGGCGGGGTGATGGAAAGCGGGAGAATAAGGCGGGGTGATGGAAAGCGAGAGAATGGGGCGGGGTGATGGAAAACGGGAGAATGGGACGGGGTGATGGAAAGCGGGAGAATGGGGCGGGGTGATGGAAAGCGGGAGAATGGGGCGGGGTGATGGAAAGCGGGAGAATGGGGCGGGGTGATGGAAAGAGGGAGAATGGGGCGGGGTGATGGAAAGCGGGAGAATGGGGCGGGGTGATGGAAAGCGGGAGTATGGGGCGGGGTGATGGAAAGCGGGAGAACGGGTCGGGGTGATGGAAAGAGGGAGAATGGGGCGGGGTGATGGAAAGCGGGAGAATGGGGCGGAGTGATGGAAAGCGGGAGAATGGGGCGGGGTTATTGAATGAGGGAGATTGGGGCGGGGGTGATGGAAAGCGGGAGAATGGGGCGGGGTGATGGAAAGAGGGAGAATGGGGCGGGGTGATGAAAAGCGGGAGTATGGGGCGGGGTTATGGAAAGAGGGAGAATGGGGCGGGGTGATGGAAAGCGGAAGAATGGGGCGGGTTGATCGAAAGAGGGAGAATGGGGCGGGGTGATAGAAAGCGGGAGAATGGAGCGGGGTGATGGAAAGAGGGAGAATTGGGCGGGGTGATGGAAAGCGGGAGAATGGAGCGGGGTGATGGAAAGAGGGAGAATGGGGCGGGGTGATGGAAAGAGGGAGAATGGGGCGGGGTGATGGAAAGCGGGAGAATGGGGCGGGGTGATGGAAAGAGGGAGAATGGGGAGGGGTGATGGAAAGAGGGATAATTGGGCGGGGTGATGGAAAGCGGGAGAATGGAGCGGGGTGATGGAACCCGGGAGAATGGGGCGGAGTGATGGAAAGCGGGAGAGGGGCGGGGTGATGGAAATCGGGAGAATGGGGCGGGGTGATGGAAAGCGGGAGAAATAGGGCGGGGTTATGGAAAGCGGGAGAATGGGGCGGGATGATGGAAAGCGGGAGAATGGGGCGGGGTGATGGAAAGCGGGAGAAGGGGGCGGGGTGATGGAAAGCGGGAGAACGGGGCGGGTGATGGAAAGTGGGAGAATGGGACGGGGTGATGGAAAGCGGGAGAATTGGGCGGGGTGATGGATAGAGGGAGAATGGGGCGGAGTGATGGAAAGAGGGAGAATGGGGCGGGGTGATGGAAAGAGGGAGAATGGGCAGGGTGATGGAAAGCGGGAGAATGGGGCGGGGTGATGGAAAGCGGGAGAATGGGGGCGGGGTGATGGACAGCGGGAGAATGGGGAGGGGTGATGGAAAGCATGAGAATGGGGCGGGGTGATGGAAAGCGGGAGAATGGGCCGGGGTGATGGAAAGCGGGAGAATGGGGCGGGGTGATGGAAAGCGGGAAGAATGGGGAGGGGTGATGGAAAGAGGGAGAATTGGACGGGTTGATGGAAAGCGGGAGAATGGAGCGGGGTGATGGAAAGCGGGAGAATGGGGCGGGGTGATGGAAAGCGGGAGAATGGGGCGGGGTGATGGAAAGAGAGAAAATAGGGCGAGGTGATGGAAAGCGGGAGAATGGGGTGGTGTGATGGAAAGAGGGAGAATGGGGCGGGGTGATGGAAAGAGGGAGAATGGGGCGGGGTGATGGAAAGCGGGAGAATGGGGCGGGGTGATGGAAAGAGGGAGAATGGGGCGGGGTGATGGAAGGCGGGAGAATGGGGTGGGGTGATGCAAATCGGGAGAATGGGGTGGGGTGATGGAAAGCGGGAGAATGGGGCGGGGTGATGGAAAGCGGGAGAACGGGGCGGGGTGATGGAAGGCGGGGAGAATGGGGCGGGGTGATGGAAAGAGGGAGAATGGGGCGGGGTGATGGAAAGCGAGAGAATGGGGCGGGGTGATGGAAAGAGGGAGAATGGGCCGGGGTGATGGAAAGCGGGAGAATGGGGCGGTTTGATGGAAAGAGGGAGAATGGGGAGGGGTGATGGAAAGAGGGAGAATTGGGCGGGGTGATGGAAAGCGGGAGAATGGAGCGGGGTGATGGAAAGCGGGCGGGGTGATGGAAAGCGGAAGAATGGGGCGGGGTGATAGAAAGAGGGAGAATGGGGCGGGGTGATAGAAAGCGGGAGAATGGGGCGGGGTGATGGAAAGAGGGAGAATGGGGCGGGGTGATGGAAGGCGGGAGAATGGGGCGGGGTGATGCAAATCGAGAGAATGGGGTGGGGTGATGGAAAGCGGGAGAATGGGGCAGGGTGATGGAAAGCGGGAGAATGGGGCGGGGTGATGGAAGGCGGGAGAATGGGCCGGGGTGATGGATAGAGGGAGAATGGGGCGGGATGATGGAAAGCGGGAGAATGGGGCGGGTGATGGAAAGCGGGAGAATGGGGCAGGGTGATGGAAAGAGGGAGAATGGGGCGGGGTGATGGAAAGCGAGAGAATGGGGCGGGGTGATGGAAAGAGGGAGAATGGGGCGGGGTGATGGAAAGCGGGAGAGTGGGGCGGGTTGATGGAAAGAGGGAGAATGGGGAGGGGTGATGGAAAGAGGGAGAATTGGGCGGGGTGATGGAAAGCGGGAGAATGGAGCGGGGTGATGGAAAGCGGGAGAATGGGGCGGGGTGATAGAAAGAGGGAGAATGGGGCGGGGTGATGGAAAGCGGGAAAATGGGGCGGGGGTGATGGAAAGAGGGAGAATGGGGCGGGGTGTTGGAAAGAGGGAGAATGGGGCGGGGTGATGGAAAGCGGGAGAATGGGGCGGGGTGATGGAAAGAGGGAGAATGGAGAGGGGTGATAGAAAGAGGGAGAATTGGGCGGGGTGATGGAAAGCGGGAGAATGGAGCGGGGTGATGGAAAGCGGGAGAATGGGGCGGGGTGATGGAAAGCGAGAGAATGGGGCGGGGTGATGGAAAGAGGGAAATGGGGCGTGGTGATGGAAAGCGGGAGAATTGGGCGGGGTGATGGAAAGCGGGAGAATGGAGCGGGGTGGTGGAAAGCGGGAGAATGGGGCGGGGTGATGGAAAGAGGGAGAATGAGGAGGGGTGATGGAAAGAGGGAGAATTGGGCGGGGTGATGGAAAGCGGGAGAATGGAGCGGGGTGATGGAAAGAGGGAGAATGGGGCGGGGTGATGGGAAAGCGGGAGAATGGGGCGGGGTGATGGAAAGAGGGAGAATGGGGCGGGGTGATGGAAAGCGGGAGAATGGGGCGGGGTGATGGAAAGAGGGAGAATGGGGCGGGGTGATGGAAAGAGGGAGAATGGGGCGGGGTGATGGAAAGCGGGAGAATGGGGCGGGGTGATGGAAAGAGGGAGAATGGGGAGGGGTGATGGAAAGAGGGAGAATTGGGGCGGGGTGATGGAAAGCGGGAGAATGGGGTGGGGTGATGGAAAGAGGGAGAATGGAGAGGGGTGATAGAAAGAGGGAGAATTGGGCGGGGTGATGGAAAGCGGGAGAATGGAGCGGGGTGATGGAAAGCGGGAGAATGGGGCGGGGTGATGGAAAGCGGGAGAATGGGGCGGGGTGATGGAAAGAGGGAAAATGGGGCGTGGTGATGGAAAGCGGGAGAATTGGGCGGGGTGATGGAAAGCGGGAGAATGGAGCGGGGTGGTGGAAAGCGGGAGAATGGGGCGGGGTGATGGAAAGAGGGAGAATGAGGAGGGGTGATGGAAAGAGGGAGAATTGGGCGGGGTGATGGAAAGCGGGAGAATGGAGCGGGGTGATGGAAAGAGGGAGAATGGGGCGGGGTGATGGAAAGCGGGAGAATGGGGCGGGGTGATGGAAAGAGGGAGAATGGGGTGGGGTGATGGAAAGCGGGAGAATGGGGCGGGGTGATGGAAAGAGGGAGAATGGGGCGGGGTGATGGAAAGAGGGAGAATGGGGCGGGGTGATGGAAAGCGGGAGAATGGGGCGGGGTGATGGAAAGAGGGAGAATGGGGAGGGGTGATGGAAAGAGGGAGAATTGGGCGGGGTGATGGAAAGCGGGAGAATGGAGCGGGGTGATGGAACGAGGGAAAATGGGGCGGGGTGATGGAATGCGGGAGAATGGGGCGGGGTGATGGAAAGAGGGAGAATGGGGGCAGGGTGATGGAAAGCGGGAGAATGGGGCGGGGTGATGGAAAGCGGGAGAATGGGGTTGGGTGATGGAAAGCGGGAGAATGGGGCGGGGTGATGGAAAGCGGGAGAATGGGGCGGGGTGATGGAAAGCGGGAGAATGGGGCGGGGTGATGGAAATCGGGAAAATGGGGCGGGCTGATGGAAAGCGGGAGAATGGGGCGGGGTGATGGAAAGAGGGAGAATGGGGCGGGGTGATGGAAAGCGGGAGAATGGGGCGGGGTGATGGAAAGCGGGAGAACGGGGCGGGGTGATGGAAAGAGGGAGAATGGGGCGCGGTGATGGAAGAGGGAGAATGGGCGGGGTGATGGAAAGCGGGAGAATGGGGCGGGGTGATGGAAAGCGGGGAGAATGGGGCGGGGTGATGGAAAGCGGGAGAATGGGGCGGGGTGATGGAAAGCGGGAGAACGGGGCGGGGTGATGGAAAGAGGGAGAATGGGGCGGGGTGATGGAAAGCGGGAGAATGGGGCGGGGTGATGGAAAGAGGGAGAATGGGGCGGGGTGATGGAAAGCGGGAGAATGGGTCGGGGTGATGGAAAGAGGGAGAATGGGGCGGGGTGATGGAAAGCGGGAGAATTGGGCGGGGTGATGGAAAGCGGGAGAATGGGGCGGGGTTATGGAATGAGGGAGATTGGGGCGGGGTGATGGAAAGCGGGAGAATGGGGCGGGGTGATGGAAAGCGGGAGTATGGGGCGGGGTTATGGAAAGAGGGAGAATGGGGCGGGGTGATGGAAAGCGGAAGAATGGGGCGGGGTGATCGAAAGAGGGAGAATGGGGCGGGGTGATGGAAAGAGTGAGAATGGGGCGGGGTTATGGAAAGCGGGAGAATGGGGCGGGGTGTTGGGAAAGCGGGAGAATGGGGCGGGGTGATGGAAAGCGGGAGAATGGGGCGAGGTGATGGAAAGCGGGAGAATGGGGCGGGGTGATGGAAATCGGGAGAATGGGGCGGGGGTGATGGAAAGCGGGAGAATAAGGCGGGGGTGATGGAAAGTGAGAGAATGGGGCGGGGTGATGGAAAACGGGAGAATGGGACGGGGTGATGGAAAGCGGGAGAATGGGGCGGGGTGATGGAAAGCGGGAGAATGGGGCGGGGTGATGGAAAGCGGGAGAATGGGGCGGGGTGATGGAAAGAGGGAGAATGGGGCGGGGTGATGGAAAGCGGGAGAATGGGGCGGGGTGATGGAAAGCGGGAGAATGGGGCGGGGTGATGGAAAGCGGGAGAACGGGGCGGGGTGATGGAAAGAGGGAGAATGGGGCGGGGTGATGGAAAGCGGGAGAATGGGGCGGGGTGATGGAAAGCGGGAGAATGGGGCGGGGTTATGGAATGAGGGAGATTGGGGCGGGGTGATGGAAAGCGGGAGAATGGGGCGGGGTGATGGAAAGCGGGAGAATGGGGCGGGGTTATGGAATAAGGGAGATTGGGGCGGGGTGATGGAAAGCGAGAGAATGGGGCGGGGTGATGGAAAGCGGGAGTATGGGGCGGGGTTATGGAAAGAGGGAGAATGGGGCGGGGTGATGGAAAGCAGAAGAATGGGGCGGGGTGATCGAAAGAGAGAGAATGGGGCGGGGGTGATGGAAAGAGTGAGAATGGGCGGGGTGATGGAAAGCGGGAGAATAGGGCGGGGTGTTGGAAAGCGGGAGAATGGGGCGGGGGTGATGGAAAGCGGGAGAATGGGGCGAGGTGATGGAAAGCGGGAGAATGGGGCGGGGTGATGGAAATCGGGAGAATGGGGCGGGGTGATGGAAAGCGGGAGAATAAGGCGGGGTGATGGAAAGCGAGAGAATGGGGCGGGGTGATGGAAAACGGGAGAATGGGGCGGGGTGATGGAAAGCGGGAGAATAAGGCGGGGTGATGGAAAGCGAGAGAATGGGGCGGGGTGATGGAAAGCGGGAGAATGGAGCGGGGTGGTGGAAAGCGGGAGAATGGGGCGGGGTAGATGGAAAGAGGGAGAATGAGGAGGGGTGATGGAAAGAGGGAGGAATTGGGCGGGGTGATGGAAAGCGGGAGAATGGAGCGGGGTGATGGAAAGCGGGAGAATGGGCGGGGTGATGGAAAGAGGGAGAATGGGGCGGGGTGATGGAAAGCGGGAGAATGGGGCGGGGGGTGATTGGAAAGCGGGAGAATGGGGCGGGGTGATGTGAAAGGCGGGAGAAACAGGGCGGGGTGATGGAAAGCGGGAGAATGGGGCGGGGTGATGGAAAGCGGGAAAATGGGGCGGGGTTATGGAATGAGGGAGATTGGGGCGGGGTGATGGAAAGCGGGAGAATGGGGCGGGGTGATGGAAAGAGGGAGAATGGGGCGGGGTGATGGAAAGCGGGAAGTGATGGTGCGGGTTATGGAAAGAGGGAGAATGGGGCGGGGTGATGGAAAGCGGAAGAATGGGGCGGGGTGATCGAAAGAGGGAGAATGGGGCGGGGTGATGGAAAGAGTGAGAATGGGGCGGGGTGATGGAAAGCGGGAGAATGGGGGCGGGGTGTTGGAAAGCGGGAGAAATGGGGCGGGGTGATGGAAAGCGGGAGAATGGGGCGAGGTGATGGAAAGCGGGAGAATGGGGCGGGGGTGATGGAAATCGGGGAGAATGGGGCAGGGTGATGGAAAGCGGGAGAATAAGGCGGGGTGATGGAAAGCGAGAGAATGGGGCGGGGTGATGGAAAACTGGAGAATGGGGCGGGGTGATGGAAAGCGGGAGAATGGGGCGGGGTGATGGAAAGAGGAGAATGGGGCGGGGTGATGGAAAGCGTGAGAATGGGGCGGGGTGATGGAAAAAAGGGAGAATGGGGCGGGGTGATGGAAGGCGGGGAGAATGGGGCGGGCTGATGGAAAGAGGGGAGAATGGGGCGGGGTGATGGAAAGCGGGAGAATGGGTCGGGGTGATGGAAAGAGGGAGAATGGGGGCGGTGGTGATGGAAAGTGGGGAGAATGGGGCGGGTGATGGAAAGAGGGAGAATGGGGCGGGGTGATGGAAAGAGGGAGAATGGGGCGGGGTGATGGAAAGAGGGAGAATGGGTGCGGGGAGATTGGAAAGAGGAAGAATGGGGCGGGGTGATGGAAAGAGGAAGAATGGGGCGGGGTGATGGAAAGTGGGAGAATGGGGCGGGGAGATGGAAAGAGAAGAATGGGGCGGGGTGATGGAAAGAGGAAGAATGGGGCGGGGTGATGGAAAGAGGGAGAATGGGGCGGGGTGATGGAAAGAGGGAGAATGGGGCGGGGTGGATGGAAAGAGGGAGAATGGGGCGGGAAGATGGAAAGAGGTAAGAATGGGGCGGGGTGATGGAAAGAGGAAGAATGGGGCGGGGTGATGGAAAGTGGGAGAATGGGGCGGGGTGATGGAAAGAGGGAGAATGGGGCGGGGTGATGGAAAGCGTAAGAAGGGCGGGGTGATGGAAGGCGGGAGAATTGGGCGGGGTGATGGAAGCGGGAGAATCGGGCGGGGTGATGGAAAGCGGGAGAATGGGGCGGGGTGATGAAAGGCGGGAGAATGGGGCGGGGTGATGGAAAGAGGGAGAATGGGGCGGGGTGATGGAAAGCGGGAGAATGGGGCGGGGTGATGGAAAGAGGGAGAATGGGGAGGGGTGATGGAACGCGGGAGGAACGGGGCGGGGTGATGGAAAGCGGGAGAATTGGGCGGGGTGATGGAAAGCGGGAGAATGGGGCGGGGTGATGAAAGGCGGGAGAATTGGGCGGGGTGATGGAAAGAGGGGAGAATGGGGCGGGGTGATAGAAAGCGGGAGAATGGGGCGGGGAGATGGAAAGAGGGAGAATGGGGCGAGGTGATGGAAACAGGGAGAATGGGGCGGGGTGATGGAAAGAGGGAGAGTGGGACGGGGTGATGGAAAGAGGGAGGAATAGGGGGGAGATGGAAAGAGGGAGAATCGAGAGGGGTGATGGAAAGCGGGAGAATTGGGCGGGGTGATGGAAAGCGGGAGAATGGAGCAGGGTGATGGAAAGCGGGAGAATGGGGTAGGGTGATAGAAAGCGGGAGAATGGGGCGGGTGATGGAAAGAGGGAGAATGGGGCGGGGTGATGGAAAGCGGGAGAATGGGGCGGAGTGATGGAAAGCGGGAGAATGGGGCGGGGTGATGGAAAGCGGGAGAATGGGGCGTGGTGATGGAAAGCGGAGAATGGGGCGGGGTGATGGGAAAATGGGGCGGGGTGATGGAAAGCGGGAGAACGGGGCGGTGTGATGGAAAGCGGGAGAATGGGGCGGTGATGGAAAGCGGGAGCATGGGGTGGGGTGATGGAAGGAGGTAGAATGAGGCGGGTGATGGAAGGAGGGAGAATGGGGCGGGGTGATGGAAAGCGGGAGAATGGGGCGGGGTGATGGAAAGCGGGAGAATGGGGCGGGGTGATGAAAAGCGGGAGAATGGGGCGGGTTGATGGAAAGCGGGAGCATGGGGTGGGGTGATGGAAGGAGGTAGAATGAGGCGGGGTGATGGAAGGAGGGAGAATGGCGGGGTGATGGAAAGCGGGAGAATGGGGCGGGGTGATGGAAAGCAGGAGAATGGGGCGGGGTGATGGAATGCGGGAGAGTGGGGCAGGTGATGGAAAGCGGGAGAATGGGGCGGGTGATGGAAAGCGGGAGAATGGGGTGGGGTGATGGAGGAGGGAGAATGGGGAGGGTGATGGAAAGCGGGGGAATGGGGCGGGATGATGGGAAGCGGGAGAATGGGGCGGGTGATGGAAAGCGGGAGAATGGGGCGGGTGATGGAAAGCAGGAGAATGGGGCGGGAGATGGAAAGCGGGAGAATGGGGCGGGGTGATGGAAGGCGGGAGAATGGGGCGGGGTGATGGAAAGAGGGAGAATGGGGCAGGGTGATGGAAAGCGGGAGAATGGGGCGGGTGATGGAAAGCGGGAGAATGGGCGGGTGATGCAAAGCGGGAGAATGGGGCGGGGAGACGGAAAGCGGGAGAATGGGGTGGGGTGATGGAAAGCGGGAGAATGGGGCGGGGTAATGGAAAGCGGGAGAATGGGGCGGCGTGATGGAAAGCGGGAGAATGGGGTGGGGTGAGGGAAGGAGGGAGATGGGGCGGGGTGATTGAAAGCGGGAGAATGGGGCGGGCTGATAGAAAGTGGGAGAATGGGGCGGGTGATGGAAGGAGGAGAATGGGGCGGGGTGATGGAAGGAGGGAGAAGGGGCGGGGTGATGGAAAGCGGGAGAATGGGGTGGGGTGATGAAAGCGGAGAGAATGGGGCGGGGTGATGGAAAGCGGGAGAATGGGGAGGGCTGATGGAAAGCGGGAGAATGGGGCGGGGTGATCAAAGGAGGGAGAATGGGACGGGTAATGGAAGGAGGGAGAATGGGGCGGGGTGATGGAAGGAGGGAGAATGGGGCGGGGTGATGGAAAGCGGGAGAATGGGGCGGGGTGGTGGAAAGCGGGAGAATGGGGGCGAGTGATGGAAAGCGGGAGAATGGGCAGGGTGATGGAAAGAGGGAGAATGGGGCGGGGTGATGGAAAGCGGGAGAATGGGGCGGGGTGATGGAAAGAGGGAGAATGGGGCGGGGTGATGGAAAGCGGGAGAATGGCGCGGGGTGGTGGAAAGCGGGAGAATGGGGCGGGGGTGATGGAAAGCGGGAGAATGGGGCGGGTGATGGAAAGCGGGAGAATGGGGAGGGGTGATGGAAAGAGGGAGAATTGGGCGGGTTGATGGAAAGCGGGAGAATGGAGCGGGGTGATGGAAAGCGGGAGAATGGGGCGGGGTGATGGAAAGCGGGAGAATGGGGCGGGGTGATGGAAAGAGAGAAATAGGGCGAGGTGATGGAAAGCGGGAGAATGGGGTGGTGTGATGGAAAGAGGGAGAATGGGGCGGGGTGATGGAAAGAGGGAGAATGGGGCGGGGTGATGGAAAGCGGGAGAATGGGGCGGGGTGATGGAAAGAGGGAGAATGGGGCGGGGTGATGGAAGGCGGGATGAATGGGGCGGGTGATGCAAATCGGGAGAATGGGGTGGGGTGATGGAAAGCGGGAGAATGGGGCGGGGTGATGGAAAGCGGGAGAATGGGGGGGGGGTGATGGAAGGCGGGAGAATGGGGCGGGGTGATGGAAAGAGGGAGAATGGGCAGGGTGATGGAAAGCGGGAGAATGGGGCGGGTGATGGAAAGCGGGAGAATGGGGCGGGGTGATGCAAAGCGGGAGAATGGGCGGGGAGACGGAAAGCGGGAGAATGGGGTGGGGTGATGGAAAGCGGGAGAATGGGGCGGGTAATGGAAAGCGGGAGAATGGGGCGGCGTGATGGAAAGCGGGAGAATGGGGTGGGTGAGGGAAGAGGGAGATTGGGGCGGGGTGATTGAAAGCGGGAGAACGGGGCGGGTGATGGAAAGTGGGAAATGGGGCGGGGTGATGCAAGCGGGAGAATGGGGCGGGGTGATGGAAAGCGGGAGAATGGGGCGGGGTGACGGAAAGCGGGTGAATGGGGCGGGGTTATGGAAAGCGGGAGAATGGGGCGGGGTGATGGAAAGCGGGAGAATGGGACGGGATGATGGAAAGCGGGAGAATGGGGCGGGTGATGGAAAGCGGGAGAATGGTGCAGGGTGATGGAAGGAGGGAGAATGGGGCAGGTGATGGAGGAGGGAATGGGGCGGGGTGATGAAAGCGGGAGAATGGGGCGGGTGATGGAAAGCGGGAGAATGGGGCAGGGTGATGGAAAGCGGGAGAATAGGGCGGGGTGATGGAAAGTTGGAGAATGGGGCGGAGTGATGGAAAGCGGGAGAATGGGGCAGGGTGATGGAAGGAGGGAGAATGGGGCAGGGTGATGGAAGGAGGGAGAATGGGGCAGGGTGATGGAAAGGGAGAGAATGGGGCGGGATGATGGAAAGTTGGAGAATGGGGCGGGTGATGGAAAGCGGGAGAATGGGGCGGGATGATGGAAAGTTGGAGAATGGGGCGGGGTGATGGAAAGCGGAGAATGGGGCGGGTGATGGAAAGAGGGAGAATGGGGCGGGGTGATGTAAAGGGAGAGAATGGGGCGGGGTGATGGAAAGCGGGAGAATGGGGCGGGATGATGGAAAGTTGGAGAATAGGGCGGGGTGATGGAAAGTTTGGAGAATGGGGCGGAAGTGATGGAAAGCGGGAGAATGGTGCAGGGTGATGGAAGGAGGGAGAATGGGGCAGGGTGATGGAAGAGAGGGAGAATGGGGCAGGGTGATGGAAAGGGAGAGAATGGGCGGGATGATGGAGAGTTGGAGAAAGGGGCGGGGTGATGGAAAGCGGTAGAATGGGGCAGTATGATGGAAGGAGGGAGAATGGGGCGGGTGATGGAAGGAGGGAGAATGGGGCGGGGTGATGGAAAGCGGAGAATGGGGCGGGGTGATGGAAAGCGGGAGAATGGGCGGGGTGATGGAAAGCGGGAGAATGGGGCGGGGTGATGGAAAGAGGGAGAATGGGGCGGGTTGATGGAAAGCGAGAGAATGGGGCGGGTTGATGGAAAGCGGGAGAATTTGGCAAGATGATGGAAAGTTGAAGAATGGGGCGGGGTGATGGAAAGCGGGAGAATCGGGCAGGTGATGGAAGGAGGAGAATGGGGCAGGGTGATGGAAGGAGGGAATGGGGCAGGGTGATGGAAGGAGGGAGAATGGGGCGGGGTGATGGAAAGCGGGAGAATGGGGCGGGGTGATGGAAAGCGGGAGAATGGGGGGGGGGTGATGGAAAGCGGGAGAATGGGGCGGGGTGATGGAAAGCGGGAGAATGGGGCGAGGTGATGGAAAGCGGAGAATGGGGCGGGGTGATGGAAAGCGGAGAATGGGGCGGGGTGATGGAAAGAGGGAGAATGGGGAGGGGTGATGGAAAGCGAGAGAATGGGGCGGGGTGATGGAAAGTGGGAGAATGGGGCGGGATGATGGAAAGTTGGAGAATGGTGCGGGGTGATGGAAAGCGGGAGAATGGGGTAGGGTGATGGAAGGAGGAGAATGGGGCGGGGTGATGGAAGGAGGGAGAATGGGGCAGGGTGATGGAAAGCGGGAGAATGGGGCGGATGATGGAAAGCGGGAGAATAGGGCGGGGTGATGGAGAGAGGGAGAATGAGGCGGGTGATGGAAGGAGGGAGAGGGGCAGGGTGATGGAAAGCGGAGAATGGGGGCGGGTGATGGAAAGCGGGAGAATGGGGCGGGGTGATGCAAAGCGGGAGAATGGGGTGGGTGACGGAAAGCGGGAGAATTGGGTGGGGTGATGGAAAGCGGGAGAATGGGGCGGGGCGATGAAAGCGGGAGAATGGGGCGGCGTGATGGAAAGCGGGAGAATGGGGCAAGATGATGGAAAGTTGGAGAATGGGGCGGGGTGATGGAAAGCGGGAGAATGGGGCAGGGTGATGGAAGGAGGGAGAATGGGGCAGGGTGATGGAAGGAGGGAGAATGGGGCAGGGTGATGGAAGGAGGGAGAATGGGGCGGGGTGATGGAAAGCGGGAGAATGGGGCGGGGTGATGGAAAGCGGGAGAATGGGGCGGGGTGATGGAAAGCGGGAGAATGGGGCGGGATGATGGAAAGAGGGAGAATGGGGCGGGGTGATGGAAAGCGAGAGAATGGGGCGGGGTGATGGAAAGTGGGAGAATGGGGCGGGGTGATGGAAAGTTGGAGAATGGTGCGGGGTGATGGAAAGCGGGAGAATGGGGTAGGGTGATGGAAGGAGGGAGAATGGGGCGGGGTGATGGAAGGAGGGAGAATGGGCAGGGTGATGGAAAGCGGAGAATGGGGCGGATGATGGAAAGCGGGAGAATAGGGCGCGATGATGGAAAGAGGGAGAATAAGGCGGGGTGATGGAAGGAGGGAGAATGGGCAGGGTGATGGAAAGCGGAAAATGGGGGCGGGGTGATGGAAAGCGGGAGAATGGGGCGGGGTGATGCAAAGCGGGAGAATGGGGTGGGGTGACGGAAAGCGGGAGAATTGGGGGGGTGATGGAAAGCGGGAGAATGGGGCGGGTTAATGAAAAGCGGGAGAATCAGGCAGGGTGAGGAAGGAGTGGAGAATGGGGCAGGTTGATGGAAGGAGGGAGAATGGGGCCAGAGGGTGATGGAAGGAGGGAGAATGGGGGCGGGGTGATGGAAAGCGGAGAATGGGGCGGGGTGATGGAAAGCGGGAGAATGGGGCGGGGTGATGGAAAGCGGGGAGGAATGGGGCGGGGTGATGGAAAGCGGGAGAGAATGGGCGCGAGGTGATGGAAAGCGGGAGAATGGGGCGGGGGGTGATGGAAAGTGGGAGAATGGGCGGGGTGACGGAAAGGGGTGAATGGGGCAGGGTTATGGAAAGCGGGAGAATGGGCGGGATGATGCGAAAGTCGGAGAATGGGGCGGAGTGATGGAAGCAAGAGAATGGGGCAGGGTGATGGAAGGAGGGAGAATTGGGGCAGGTTGATGGAAGAGGGAGAATGGGGCAGGGTGATGGAAAGGGAGAGAATGGGGCGGTGATGATGGAAAGTTGGAGAATGGGGCGGGGTGATGGAAAGCGGGAGAATGGGGCGGGGTGATGGAAAGAGGTAGAATGGGGCGGGGTGATGGAAAGGGAGAGAATGGGGCGGGGGTGATGGAAAGCGGGAGAATGGGCGGGTGATGGAAAGTTGGAGAATGGGGCGGGGTGATGGAAAGCGGGAGAATGGGGCAGTGTGATGGAAGGAGGGAGAATGGGGCGGGGTGATGGAAGGAGGGAGAATGGGGCGGGGTGATGGAAAGCGGGAGAATGGGGCGGGGTGATGGAAAGCGGGAGAATGGGGCGGGGTGATGGAAAGCGTGAGAATGGGGCGGGGTAATGGAAAGCGGGAGAATGGGGCGGGGTGATGGAAAGCGGGAGAATGGGGCGGGGTGATGGAAAGCGAGAGAATGGGGCGGGGTGATGGAAAGCGGGAGAGTGGGGCAAGATGATGGAAAGTTGGAGAATGGGGCGGGGTGTTGGAGAGCGGGAGAATGGGGCAGGGTGATGGAAGGAGGGAGAATGGGGCGAGGTGATGGAAGGAGTGAGAATGGGGCAGGGTGATGGAAGGAGGGAGAATGGGGTGGGGTGATAGAAAGCGGGAGAATGGGGCGGGGTGATGGAAAGCGGGAGAATGGGGCGGGCCGATGGAAAGCGGGAGAATGGGGCGGGGTGATGGAAAGCAGGAGAATGGGGCGGGGTGATGGAAAGCGGGAGAATGGGACGGGGTGATGGAAAGCGTGAGAATGGGGCGGGGTGATGGGAAGCGGGAGAATGGGGCGAGGTGATGGAAAGCGGGAGAATGGGGCGGGGTGATGGAAAGCAGGAGAATGGGGCGGGGTGATGGAAAGCGGGAGAATGGGACGGGGCGATGGAAAGCGGGAAAATGGGGCGGGGTGATGGAAAGAGGGAGAATGGGGCGGGGTGATGGAAAGCGAGAGAATGGGGCGGGGTGATGGAAAGCGGGAGAATGGGGCAAGATGATTGAAAGTTGGAGAATGGTGCGGGGTGGTGGAAAGCGGGAGAATGGGGCAGTGTGATGGAAGGAGGGAGAATGGGGCGGGGTGATGGAAGGAGGGAGAATGGGGCAGGGTGATGGAAGGAGGGAGAATGGGGCGGGGTGATGGAAAGCGGGAGAATGGGGCGGGGTGATGGAAAGTGTGAGAATGGGGCGGGGTGATGGAAAGCGGGAGAATGGGGCGGGGTGATGGAAAGCGGGAGAATGGGGCGGGGTGATGGAAAGCGCGAGAATGGGGCGGGGTGATGGAAAGAGGGAGAATAGGGCAGAGTGATGGAAAGCGAGAGAATGGGGCAGGGTAATGAAAAGCGGGAGAATGGGGCAGGGTGATGGAAGGAGGGAGAATGGGGCGGGGTGATGGAAGGAGGGAGAATGTGGCAGGGTGATGGAAAGTGGGAGAATGGGGCGGGGTGATGGAAATCGGGAGAATGGGGCGGGGTGATGGAAAGAGGGAGAATGGGGCGGTTGATGGAAAGGGAGAGAATGGGGTGGGGTGATGGAAAGCAGGAGAATGGGGCCGTGTGATGGAAAGCGGGAGAATGGGGTGGTGTGATGGAAAGCGGGAGAATGGGGCGGGGTGATGGAAAGCGGGAGCATGGGGCGGGGTGATGGAAGGAGGGAGAATGGGGCGGGGTGATGGAAAGCAGGAGAATGGGGCAGGATGATAGAAAGCGGGAGAATGGGGCGGGGTGATGGAAAGCGGGAGAATGGGGTAGGGTGATGGAAGGAGGGAGAATAGGGCAGGGTGATGGAAAGCATGAGAATGGGGCAGGGTGATGGAAAGAGGGAGAATGGAGCGGGGTGATGGAAAGGGAGAGAATGGGGCGGGGTAATGGAAAGCGGGAGAATGGGGCCGGGTGATGGAAAGCGGGAGAATGAAGCGGGGTAATGGAAAGCGGGAGAATGGGGCGGGGTGATGGAAAGCGGGAGAATGGGGCGGGGTGATGGAAGGAGGGAGAATGGGGCGGGTTGATGGAAAGCAGGAGAATGGGGCGGGGTGATGGAAAGCGGGAGAATGGGGCAGGGTGATGGAAGGAGGGAGAATGGGGCGGGGTGATGGAAGGAGGGAGAATGTGGCAGGGTGGTGGAAAGCGGGAGAATGGGGCAGGGTGATGGAAAGCGGGAGAATGGGGCGGGGTGATGGAAAGAGGGAGAATGTGGCGGGTGATGGAAAGGGAGAGAATGGGGCGGGGTGATGGAAAGCAGCAGAATGGGGCCGTGTGATGGAAAGCGGGAGAATGAAGCGAGGTGATGGAAAGCGGGAGAATGGGGTGGTGTGATGGAAAGCGGGAGAATGGGGCGGGGTGATGGAAAGTGGGAGAATGGGGCGGAATGATGGAAGGAGGGAGAATGGGGCGGGGTGATGGAAAGCAGGAGAATGGGGCGGGGTGATGGAAAGCAGGAGAATGGGGCGAGGTGATGGAAAGCGGGAGAATGGGGCGGGGTGATGGAAAGCGGGAGAATGGGGCAGGGTGATGGAAAGAGGGAGAATGGGGCGGGGTGATGGAAAGCGAGAGAATGGGGCAGGATGGTGGAAAGCGGGAGAATGGGGCGGGATGATGGAAAGTTGGAGAATGGGGCGAGGTGATCGAAAGCGGGAGAATGGGACAGGGTGATGGAAGGAGGGAGAATGGGGCGGGGTAATGGAAGGAGGGAGAATGGGGCAGGGTGATGGAAAGCGGGAAAATGGGGCGGGGTGATGGAAAGCGGGAGAATGGGGCGGGGTGATGGAAAGAGGGAAAATGGGGCGGGGTGATGGAAAGGGAGAGATTGGGGCGGGTGATGGAAAGCGGGAGAATGGGGCGGGATGATGGAAAGTTGGAGAATGGGGCGGGCTGATGGAAAGCGGGAGAATGGGGCGGGGTGATGGAAGGAGGGAGAATGGGGCGGGGTGATAGAAGGAGGGAGAATGGGGCACAGTGATGGAAAGAGGGAGAATGGGGCGGGGTGATGGAAAGCGGGAGAATGGGGCGCGGTGATGGAAAGCGGGTGAATGGGGCGGTGTTATGGAAAGCGGGAGAATGGGGCAGAGTGATGGAAAGCGGGAGAATGAAGCGGGGTGATGGAAAGCGGGAGAATGGGGTGGTGTGATGGAAAGCGGGAGAATGGGGCGGGGTGATGGAAAGAGGGAGAATGGGGTGGGGTGATGGAAAGCAGGAGAATGGGGCGGGGTGATGGAAAGCAGGAGAATAGGGCGGGATGATGAAAAGCGGGAGAATGGGGCGGGGTGATGGAAAGCGGGAGAATGGTGTAAGGTGATGGAAGGAGGGAGAATGGGGTGGGGTGATGGAAGGAGGGAGAATGGGGCGGCGTGATGGAAAGCGGGAGAATGGGGTGGGGTGATGGAAGGAGGGAGATTGGGGCGGGGTGATTGAAAGCGGGAGAATGGGGCGGGGTGATGGAAAGCGGGAGAATGGGGCGGGGTGATGCACAGCGGGAGAATGGGGCGGGGTGATGGAAAGCGGGAGAATGGGGCGGGGGTGATGGAAAGCGGGAGAATGGGGCGGGGTGATGGAAGGAGGGAGAATGGGGCGGGGTGATGGAAAGCGGGAGAATGGGGCCGGGTGATGGAAAGCGGGAGAATGGGGTGGTGTGATGGAAAGCAGGAGAATGGGGCGGGATGATGGAAAGAGGGAGAATGGGGCGGGGTGATGGAAAGAAGGAGAATGGGGCGGGGTGATGGAAAGCAGGAGACAGGGACAGGATGATGGAAAGCGAGAGAATGGAGCGGGGTGATGGAAAGCGGGAGAATGGTGCAGGGTGATGGAAGGAGGGAGAATGGGGCAGGGTGATGGAAGGAGGGAGAATGGGGCGGGGTGATGGAAAGCGGGAGAATGGGGCGGGATGATGGAAGGAGGGAGAATCGGGCGGGGTGATTGAAAGCGGGAGAATGGGGCGGGGTGATGGAAAGCGGGAAAATGGGGCGAGGTGATGGAAAGCGGGAGAATGGGGCGGGGTGATGGAAAGCGGGAGAATGGGGCGGGGTGATGGAAAGTGGGTGAATGGGTGTGTGGTGATGGAAAGCGGGAGAATGGGGCGGGGTGATGGAAGGAGGAAGAATGGGGCGGGGTGATGGGAGGGAGAATGGGGCGGGGTGATGGAAAGCGGGAGAATGGGGCGGGGTGATGAAAGCGGGAGAATGAAGCAGGGTGATGGAAAGCGGGAGAATGGGGCGGGGTGATGGAAAGCGGGAGAATGGGGCGGGCAGGAAAGGGGGAGAATGGGGCGGGGTGATGAAAAGTAAGAGAATGGGGCGGGGTGATGGAACGCGGGAGAATGGGGCGGGATGATGGAAAGCGGGAGAATGGGGCGGGGTGATGGAAAGCGGGAGAATGGGGCAGGGTGATGGAAAGAGGGAGAATGGGGCGGGGTGATGGAAGGAGGGAGAATGGGGCGGGGTGATGGAAAGCAGCAGAATGGGGCGGGGTGATGGAAAGCGGGAGAATGGGGCGGGGAGATTGAAAGCGGGAGAATGGGGCGAGGTGATGGAAAGCTGGAGAATGGGGCGGGGTGATGGAAAGCGGGAGAATGAAGCGGGGTGATGGAAAGCGGGAGAATGGGGCGGTGTGATGGAAAGCGGGAGAATGGGGCGGGCAGGAAAGCGGGAGAATGAAGCGGAGTGATGGAAAGCGGGAGAATGGGGCGGTGTGATGGAAAGAGGGAGAATGGGGCGAGGTGATGAAAAGTAGGAGAATGGGGCGGGGTGATGGAAAGTAGCAGAATGGGGCGGGATGATGGAAAGCGGGAGAATGGGGCGGGGTGATAGAATGCAGGGAGAATGGGGCAGGGTGATGGAAGGAGGGAGAATGGGGCGGGGTGATGGAAAGAGGGAGAATGGGACGGGGTGATGGAAAGCGAGAAAATGGGGCAGGGTGATGGAAAGCGGGAGAATGGGGCAAGGTGATGAAAGGAGGGAGAATGGGGCGGGTTGATGGAAAGCGGGAGAATGGGGCAGGTTGATGGAAAGCGGGAGAATGGGGCAGGGTGATGGAAAGCGGGAGAATGGGGTGGGGTGATGGAAAGAAGGAGAATGGGGCGGGGTGATGGAAGGAGGGAGAAAGGGGCGGGGTGATGGAAAGCGGGAGATTCGGGTGGGGTGATGGAAAGCGGGAGAATGGGGCGGGGCGATGGAAAGCGGGAGAATTGGGCGGGGTGATGGAAATCGGGAGAATGGGGCGGGGTGATGGAAAGCGGGAGAATGGGGCATGGTGATGGAAAGAGGGAGAATGGGGCGGGGAGATGAAAGGAGGGAGAATGGGGCGGGGTGATGGAAAGCGGGAGAATGGGGCAGGGTGATGGAAAGCGGGAGAATGGGGCGGGGTGATGGAAGGCGGGAGAATGGGGCGGGGTGATTGAAAGCGGGAGAATGGGGCGGGGTGATGGAAAGCAGGAGAATGGGGCGGGGTGATGAAAAGCAGGAGAATGGGGCGGGGTGATGGAAAGCAGGAGAATCGGGCGGGGTGATGGAAAGCGGGAGAATGGGGCGGGGTGATGGAAAGCGGGAGAATGGGGTGGTGTGATGGAAAGCGGGAGAATGGGGCCGGGTGATGGAAAGAGGGAGAATGGGGTGGTGTGATGGAAAGCGGGAGAATGGGTCGGGGTGATGGAGAGCGGGAGAATGGGGCGGGGTGATGGAAGGAGGGAGAATGGGGCGGGGTGATGGAAAGCGGGAGAATGGGGCAGGGTGATGGAAGGAGGGAGAATGGGGCAGGGTGATGGGAGGAGGGAGAATGGGGCGGGGTGATGGAAAGCGGGAGAATGGGGCGGGGTGATGGAAAGCGTGAGAATGGGGCGGGGTGATGGAAAGCGGGAGAATGGGGCAGGGTGATGGAAGGAGGGAGAATGGGGCAGGGTGATGGGAGGAGGGAGAATGGGGCGGGGTGATGGAAAGCGTGAGAATGGGGCGGGATGATGGAAAGCGGGTGAATGGAGCGGAGTGATGGAAAGCGGGAGAATGGGGCGGGGTGATGGAAAGCGGGAGAATGGGGCGGGGTGATGGAAAGCGCGAGAATGGGGCGGGGTGATGGAAAGCGGGAGAATGGGGCGGGGTGATGGAAAGAGGGAGAATGGGGAGGGGTGATGGAAAGCGAGAAAATGGGGCGGGGTGATGGAAAGCGGGAGAATGGGGCGGGATGATGGAAAGTTGGAGAATGGGGCGGGGTGATGGAAAGCGGGAGAATGGGGCAGGGTGATGGAAGGAGGGAGAATGGGGCGGGGTGATGGAAGGAGGGAGAATGGGGCAGGGTGATGGAAAGCGGGAGAATGGGGCGGGGTGATGGAAAGCAGGAGAATGGGGCGGGGTGATGGAAAGAGGGAGAATGGGGCGGGGTGATGGAAAGGGAGAGAATGGGGCGGGGTGATGGAAAGCGGGAGAATGGGGCGGGGTGATGGAAAGTGGGAGAATGGGGCAGGGTGATGGAAGGAGGGAGAATGGGGCGGGGTGATGGAAGGAGGGAGAATGGGGCGGGGTGATGGATAGCGGGAGAATGGGGTGGGGTGATGGAAAGCGGGAGAATGGGGCGTGGTGATGGAAAGAGGGAGAATGGGGCGGTGTGATGGAAAGCGGGAGAATGGGGCGGGTGATGGAAAGCAGGAGAATGGGGCGGGCAGGAAAGGGGGAGAATGGGGCGGGGTGATGAAAAGTAGGAGAATGGGGCGGGGTGATGGAAAGCGGGAGAATGGGGCGGGATGATGGAAAGCGAGAGAATGGGGCGGGGTGATGAAAAGCGGGAGAATGGAGCAGGGGTGATGGAAAGAGGGAGAATGGGGCGGGGTGATGGAAGGAGGGAGAATGGGGCGGGGTGATGGAAAGCAGCAGAATGGGGCGGGGTGATGGAAAGCGGGAGAATGGGGCGGAAAGCGGGAGAATGGGGCGGGGAGATTGAAAGCGGGAGAATGGGGCGGGGAGATTGAAAGCGGGAGAATGGGGAGGTGTGATGGAAAGCGGGAGAATGGGGCGGGGTGATGGAAAGCGGGAGAATGGGGCGGGCAGGAAAGAGGGAGAATGGGGCGAGGTGATGAAAAGTAGGAGAATGGGGCGGGGTGATGGAAAGTAGGAGAATGGGGCGAGGTGATGGAAATCGGGAGAATGGGGCGGGGTGATGGAAAGCGGGAGAATGGGGCATGGTGATGGAAAGAGGGAGAATGGGGCGGGGAGATAAAGGAGGGAGAATGGGGCGGGGTGATGGAAAGCGGGAGAATGGGGCGGGGTGATGGAAAGCGGGAGAATGGGGCGGGGTGATGGAAAGCAGGAGAATGGGGCGGGGTGATGGAAGGAGGGAGAATGGGGCGGGGTGATGGAAGGAGGGAGAATGGGGCGGGGTGATGGAAAGCGGGAGAATGGGGCGGGGTGATGGAAAGCGGGTGAATGGGGCGGGGTTATGGAAAGCGGGAGAATGGGGCGGGGTGATGGAAAGCGAGGAATGGGGTGGATTGTTGGAAGAAGGGAGAATGGGGCGGGGTGATGGAAAGCGGGAGAATGGGGCCGGGTGATGGAAAGCGGGAGAATGGGGCCGGGTGATGGAAAGAGGGAGAATGGGGTGGTGTGATGGAAAGCGGGAGAATGGGTCGGGGTGATGGAGAGCGGGAGAATGGGGCGGGGTGATGGAAGGAGGGAAAATGGGGCGGGGTGATGGAAAGCGGGAGAATGGGGCAGGGTGATGGAAGGAGGGAGAATGGGGCAGGGTGATGGGAGGAGGGAGAATGGGGCGGGGTGATGGAAAGCGGGAGAATGGGGCGGGGTGATGGAAAGCGTGAGAATGGGGCCGATGATTGTTGGAAAGCGGGAGACTGGAGCGGGGTGATGGAAAGCGGGAGAATGGGGCGGGGTGATGGAAATCGGGAGAAAGGGGCGGGGTGATGGAAAGCGGGAGAATGGGGCGGGGTGATGGAAAGCGAGAGAATGGGGCGGGGTGATGGAAAGCGGGAGAATGGGGCGGGGTAATGGAAAGCAGGAGAATGGGGCGGGGTGATGGAAAGAGGGAGAATGGGGCGGGGTGATGGAAAGCGAGAAAATGGGGCGGGGTGATGGAAAGCGGGAGAATGGGGCGGGATGATGGAAAGTTGGAGAATGGGGCGGGGTGATGGAAAGCGGGAGAATGGGGCAGGGTGATGGAAGGAGGGAGAATGGGGCGGGGTGATGGAAGGAGGGAGAATGGGGCAGGGTGATGGAAAGTGGGAGAATGGGGCGGGGTGATGGAAAGCAGGAGAATTGGGCGGGGTGATGGAAAGAGGGAGAATGGGGCGGGGTGATGGAAAGGGAGAGAATGGGGCGGGGTGATGGAAAGCGGGAGAATGGGGCGGGGTGATGGAAAGCGGGAGAATGGGGCAGGGTGATGGAAGGAGGGAGAATGGGGCGGGGTGATGGAAGGAGGGAGAATGGGGCAGGGTGATGGATAGCAGGAGAATGGGGCGGGGTGATGGAAAGCGGGAGAATGGGGCGGGGTGATGGAAAGCGGGAGAATGAAGCGGGGTGATGGAAAGAGGGAGAATGGGGCGGTGTGATGGAAAGCGGGAGAATGGGGCGGGGTGATGGAAAGCGGGAGAATGGGGCGGGCAGGAAAGGGGGAGAATGGGGCGGGGTGATGAAAAGTAGGAGAATGGGGCGGGGTGATGGAAAGCGGGAGAATGGGGCGGGATGATGGAAAGCGGGAGAATGGGGCGGGGTGATGGAAAGCGGGAGAATGGGGCGGGGTGATGGAAAGAGGGAGAATGGGGCGGGGTGATGGAAGGAGGGAGAATGGGGCGGGGTGATGGAAAGCGGGAGAATGGGGCGGAAAGCGGGAGAATGGGGCGGGGAGATTGAAAGCGGGAGAATAGGGCAGGGTGATGGAAAGCGGGAGAATGGGGCGGGGTGATGGAAAGCGGGAGAATGAAGCGGGGTGATGGAAAGCGGGAGAATGGGGCGGTGTGATGGAAAGCGGGAGAATGGGGCGGGGTGATGGAAAGCGGGAGAATGGGGCGGGCAGGAAAGAGGGAGAATGGGGCGAGGTGATGAAAAGTAGGAGAATGGGGCGGGGTGATGGAAAGTAGGAGAATGGGGCGGGATGATGGAAAGCGGGAGAATGGGGCGGGGTGATAGAATGCGGGAGAATGGGGCAGGGTGATGAAAGGAGGGAGAATGGGGCGGGGTGATGGAAAGCGGGAGAATGGGACGGGGTGATGGAAAGCGAGAAAATGTGGCAGGGTAATGGAAAGCGGGAGAATGGGGCAGGGTGATGAAAGGAGGGAGAATGGGGCGGGTTGATGGAAAGCGGGAGAATGGGGCAGGGTGATGGAAAGCGGGAGAATGGGGCAGGGTGATGGAAAGCGGGAGAATGGGGTGGGGTGATGGAAAGAAGGAGAATGGGGCGGGGTGATGGAAGGAGGGAGAATGGGGCGGGGTGATGGAAAGCGGGAGAATGGGGCGGGGAGATTGAAAGCGGGAGAATGGGGCGGGGTGATGGAAAGCGGGAGAATGGGGCGGGGTGATGGAAAGCGGGAGAATGAAGCGGGGTGATGGAAAGCGGGAGAATGGGGCGGTGTGATGGAAAGCGGGAGAATGGGGCGGGGTGATGGAAAGCGGGATAATGGGGCGGGGTTATGGAAAGCGGGAGAATGGGGCAGGGTGATGGAAGGAGGGAGAATGGGGCGGGGTGATGGAAGGAGGGAGAATGGGGCAGGGTGATGGAAAGCGGGAGAATGGGGCGGGGTGATGGAAAGCGGGAGAATGGGGCAGGGTGATGGAAAGCGGGACAATGGGGCAGGGTGATGGAAAGCGGGAGAATGGGGCTGGGTGATGGAAAGCGAGAGAATGGGGCGGGGTGATGGAAAGCGGGAGAATTGGGCGGGGTGATGGAAAGCGGGAGAATGGGGCAGGGTGATGGAGCTTGCCTGGTCTAGGAGCTTGCCTTCTCTAGGAGCTTGCCTGGTACAAGAGCTTGCCTGGTCCAGGAGCTTGCCTGGTCCGGGAGCTTGCCTGGACCAGGAGCTTGCTTGGTTCTGGAGCTTGCCTGGTCTAGGAGCTTGCCCGGTCCAGGAGCTTGCCTGGTCCAGGAGTTTGCCTCGTCCAGGAGCTTGCCTGGTCCAGGAGCTTGCCTGGTCTAGGAGCTTGCCTGGTCAAGGAGATTGCCTGGTCCAGGAGCTTGCCTGGTCCAGGGGCTTGCCTGGTCCAGGAGCTTGCCAATCGAGGAGCTTGCCTGGTTTAGGAGCTTGCCTGGTCCAAGAGATTGCCTGGTTCAGGAGTTGCCTGTTCCAGGAGCTTGAGTGGTCCAGGAGCGTGCCTGGTCCTGGAGCTTGCCTGGTCCAGGAGCTTGCCTAGTCTAGGAGCTTGCCTTGTCTAGGAGCTTGCCTGGTCCAAGGGCTTGCCCAATCCAAGAGCTTGCCCTGTCCAGGAGCTTGCCCGGTCCAGGAGCTTGCCTGGTCCAAGGAGCTTGCCTGGTCCAAGAGCTTGCATGGTCCAGGAGCTTGCCTGGTCCAGGAGATTTCCCGGTCCAGGAGCTTGCCCGGTCCTGGAGCTTGCTTGGTCCAGGAGCTTGTCTGGTCCACAAGCTTGCCTGGTCCAGGGGCATGCCTGGTCAAGGAGCTTGCCTAGTCAGGGAGCTTGCCTGGTCCAGGAGCTTGCCTGGTCCAGGAGCTTTCCTGGTCCATGAGCTTGCCTGGTCCAGGAGCTTGCCTCATCCACGAGCTTGCGTGGTCCAGGAGCTTTCCTGGTCCAGGAGCTTGCGTGGTCCAGGAGCTTGCCTGGTCGAGGGGCTTGCCTGGTCTAGGAGCATAACGGTCAAGGAGCTTGCCTGGTCAGGGAGCTTGCCTGGTCTAAAAGATTGCCTGGTCCAGGAGCTTGCCTGGTCCATAAGCTTGAGTGGTCCAGGAGCGTGCTTGGTCCTAGAGCTTGCCTGGTCCAGGAACTTGCCTGGTCCATGAGCTTGCCTGGTCTAGGAGCTTGCCATGTCCACGAGCTTGCCTAGTCCAAGAGCTTGCCTGGTCTAGGAGCTTGCCTGGTCCAAGAGCTTGCCTGGTCCAAGAGCTTGCCTGGTCCAGGAGCTTGCCTGGTCCAGGACCTTGCCTGGTCCAAGAGCGTGCCTGGTCTAGGAGCTTGCCTGGTCCAGGGGCTTGCCATGTCCATGAGCTTGCCTGGTCTAAGAGCTTGCCTGGTCCAGGAGCTTGCCTAGTCTAGGAGCTTTCCTGGTCCAGGAGCTTGCCTGGTCAAGGAGTTTGCCTGGTCCAGGGGCTTTCGTGGTCCAGGAGCTTGCCGGTCGAGAAGCTTGCCTTGTCCATGAGCTTGCCTGGTCCAAGAGATTGCCTGGTCCAGGAGCTTGCCTAGTTCAGGAGCTTGAGTGGTCCAGGAGCGTACGTGGTCCTCGAGCTTGCCTGGTCTAGGACCTTGCATGGTCCAGGAGCTTGCCTGGTCCAAGAGCTTGCCCGGTTTAGGAGCTTGCCTTGTCCAGGAGCTTGCCTGGTCCAAGAGCTTGCCTGGTCCAGGAGCTTGCCTAATCCACGAGCTTGCCTGGTCCAGGAGCTTGCCTGGTCCAGGAAGCTTGCCTGGTCCAGGAGCTTGCCTGGTCCAAGAGCGTCCCTGGTCCAGGAGCTTGCCTGGTCCAGGAGCTTGCCTGGTCCACGAGCTTGCCTGGTCCAGGAGCTTGCGTGGTCCAGGAGCTTGCCTGGTCCAGGAGCTTGCCTGGTCCAGGAGCTTGCCTGGTCCACGAGCGTGCCTGGTCCAAGAGCGTGCCTGGTCCAGGAACTTGTCTGGTCCAAGAGCTTGCCTGGTCTAGGAGCGTGCCTGGTCCAGGAGCGTGCCTGTTCCAGGAGCTTGCCTGGTCCAGGAGCTCGCCTGGTCTAGGAGCTTGCCTGATCTAGGAGCTTGCCTGGTCCAGGATCGTGCCTGGTCTAGGAGCGTGCCTGGTCCAAGAGCTTGCCTGGTCCAGGAGCTTGCCTGGTCCAGGAGCTTGCCTTGTCCAATGAGCTTGCTTGGTCCAGGATCGTGCCTGGTCCAGGAGCTTGCCTGGTCCAGGAGCGTACCTGGTCCAAGATCGTGCCTGGTCTAGGAGCTTGCCTGGTCCAGGAGCTTGCCTTGTCCAGGAGCTTGCCTTGTCCAAGAGCTTGCCTAGTCCAAGAGCTTGCTTGGTCCAGGAGCGTGCCTGGTCCAGGAGCTTGCCTGGTCCTAGGAGCTTGCATGGTCCAGGCCGAATATGCAACAATCATTCAGGTCGTTTGATGCTTTTCCCTACGCCTTTGAGGATTCATGCACTTCGTTACCATTTGTCGGCAGGCACAGCCGTCATCGCTAGCGCCGAACGATTCTGTGCGCACGAACCAAGTTGAAATTGCTCTGGTAGGTGTATTTGAGCATGGGCCACCCAAATATGCAACAACATTCAGGTCGTTCGATGCTTTTCCTTATGCCTGTGAGGATTCATGCACTTTGTTACCATTTGTCGGCGGGCACAGCCGTCATCGCAGGCGCCGAACTTTTTAGTGCGCACAAACCAAGCTGAAATTGCTCTGGTGTATTTGAGCATGGGCCACCCGAATATGCAACAATATTCAGGTCGTTCGATGCTTTTCCCGACGCCTATGAGGATTCATTGTGAGAATGTTATGCTCTAGCCTGTAGTGGGGTGCTCTATAGCGAGTACAACCCTTCTAGGGTTTGCTATTTGTATCCTCATTCCTGCTAGTGAACATCCTCTTTGCCTAAACTGTTTCTTGCCTAGCTAGGGCTTTCCTAGCTATGGCGCCTTCTTCTACTGCTTATTTTCACATGGTATTAGAGCGATATGCTCCTGGCCTGTGGGCCCCACCTCACTGCTTCCGCTGCTACTGCTACTCCCTGTCTGCCGCGCGCGCCGTGGTGCGCGGCGTCGAAATTAGGGTTTTCAGCCCGCCGTGCGCCCCGAGGCGCACGGCGGTTTTCTGCCCGCCGTGCGCCCCGAGGCGGGCGGCGGTTTTCTGCCCGCCGTGCGCCCGGAGGCGCGCGACGGGTTTCTGCCCCGTCACTCGGCGCGTCGCCCCCAGGAGGCGCTGCGACGACGGGGACCCGCGCGTCGCCCCCCGTCGCCCGTCGTGGCCTGCGCGCGGCCCATACAGGCTGCGCGCGGCCCGTACGGGCTGCGCTAGGCCCGGACACGGCCCGTACGGGCTGCGCCAGGCCCGCGCGCGGCCCGTACGGGCTGCGCCAGGCCCGCGCGCGGCTTGGGCCGCCTGCGCGCGGTTCGGGCGGCTGTGCCAGGCCCGTGGGCGGCCCGTTCTTCGCTGCCCCTGCACTGCCCGCTGTCCCCCGTGCCTCTGATGGCGCCCCACCCCTGCTACTGCTTGTGCTCATGCATTAGGGTTTGGGGGTGGAGCGTGTGGGGGTATGGGGGTGCAGTTTCTCAGCGGCGTCCCCTGCTCCTCCTCCTCCTCCGTCTCCCGCTACTGCAGCTGCCGCTCAGGAGGGTGGGTGTGTGGGAGCCGAAGGAGTGGTGCTAGAGGGGTGACGTGGGAGTGGAGCTAGGGGTGAAGCAGGGGGTGTGTGTCAGGGGGGGTGGGACTGTTTGGGGAAGTTGAACGGAGGTTGCCGTCGTGTCGCCAGCAGCACCTGTAGTCCGGGGAGTTGCTCCGGTAGCCCAGTCGCAGCCACCTGTGCCAGTCGCCCGTGGGTCCGTTGCTCGTCTGCCGCTACTTTTAGCAGCGGGGCCAGTTACTCCAGTAGTCCGGAGCGTTGTTCCGGTAGCCGCTGTGCCAGTGTGCCTCCTGTTGCCCGTGTGTCTGCAGCTTCAGTCGTCGCCTCCTATCTCCTCTCCTCTTACAGTCTCGCCTCCTCCTCCTCACTTGCCCTCTGCGATAGCCTCTAGCTTTGCTTACACTTGTGAACTTTAAACTGTTGCTTCTTGAACTTGTGCTCAGAATGTGTGGTGACATTGTGATCCACCTTGAGCTTGTTGTGCTTTGCTTGCTCTGCTGATTACACCCCACTTTGGCTATGGGGGTGTGTCAGAATGTTATGCTCTAGCCTAATAGTGGGGTGCTCTATAGCGAGTACAACCCTTCTAGGATTTTGCTATTTGTATTCTCATTCCTGCTAGTGAACATCCTCTTTGCCTAAACTGTTTCTTGCCTAGCTAGGGCTTTCCTAGCTATGGCGCCTTCTTCTACAGCTTATTTTCACATTCATGCATTTCGTTACCATTTGTCAGTAGGCACAGCCGTCAGTGCAGGCGCCGAACTTTTGTGTGCGCACGAACCAAGCTGAAATTGCCCTTGTAGGTGTATTTGAGCATGGGCCACCCGAATATGCGACAACATTCAGGTCGTTCGATGCTTTCCCCCATGCCTATGATGATTCATGCACTTCGTTACCATTTGTCGGCACGCACAGCCGTCATGGCAGGCGCCGAACTTTTTAGTGCGCACGAACCAAGCTGGAATTGCTCTGGTAGGTGTATTTGAGCATGGGCCACCCGAATATGCAACAACATTCAAGTCGTTCGATGCATTTCCCTACGCCTATGAGGATTCATGCACTTCGTTACCATTTGTCGGCAGGCACAGTCGTCAGCGCCGACGCCGAACTTTTATGTGCGCACGAACCAAGCTGGAGTTGCTATGGTAGGTGTTTTTTAGCGTGGGCCACCCAAATATGCAACAACATTCATGTCGTTCGATGCTTTTCCCTACGCCTATGAGGATTCATGCACTTTGTTACCATTTGTCAGTAGGCACAGCCGTCAGTGCAGGCGGCGAACTTTTCTGTGCGCACGAACCAAGCTAGAATTGCTCTAGTAGGTGTATTTGAGCATGGACCACCCAAATATGCAACAACATTCAGGTCGTTGGATGCTTTTCCCTACGCCTATGAAGATTCATGCACTTTGTTACCATTTGTCGGCAGGCACAGCTGTCAGCGCAGGCGCCGGACTATTTGGTGCGCACAAACCAAGCTGGAATTGCTCTGGTTGGTGTATTTGAGCATGGGCCACCCGAATATGCAACAACATTCAGGTCGTTTGATGCTTTTCCCAACTCTTATGAGGATTCATGCACGTCGTTACCATTTGTCGTCAGGCACAGCCGTCAGCGCAGGCGCCGAACTTTTCTGTGCACACGAACCAGGCTGGAATTGCTCTGGGTAGGTGTATTTGAGCATGGGCCACCCGATTATGCAACAACATTCAGGTCGTTTGATACTTTTCCCTACGCCGATGAGGATTCATACCCTTCGTTACCATTTGTCGGCAAGGCACAGCTGTCAGCGCATGCGCCGAACTTTTCTGTGCGCACGATCCAAGCTGGAATTGCTCTGGAATGTGTATTTGAGCATGGGCCACACGAATATGCAACAACATTCCGGTCGTTTGATGCTTTTCCCTACGCCTATGAGGATTCAAGCACTTCATTACCATTTCTTGGCAGGCGCAGCCGTCAGCGCAGGCGCAGAACTTTTCTATGCGCAAGAACCAAGCTGAAATTGCTCTGGTAGGTGTATTTGAGCATGGGCCACCCGAATATGCAACAACATTCAGGTCGTTCGATGCTTTACCCTACGCCTATGAGGATTCGTGCACTTCGTTACCATTTGTCCGCCGGCACAGCCGTCATCGCAGGCGCCGAACTATTTGGTGCACACGAACCAAGCTGGAATTGCTCTAGTAGGTGTATTTGAGCATGGGCCACCCGAATATGCAACAATATTCAGGTCGTTCGATGCATTTCCCTACGCCTATGAGGATTCATGAACTTCATTTCCATTTGTCGGCAGACACAGCCGTCAGCGCAAGCGTTGAACTTTTCTGTGCGCACGAACCAAGCTGGAATTGCTCTGGTATGTGTATTTGAGCATGGGCCACCCGAATATGCAACAACATTCAGGTCCGGTCGATGCTTTTCCCTACGCCTATGAAGATTCATGCACTTCGTTACCATTTTTCGGCAGGCACAGCCGTCATCGCAGGCGCCGAACTATTTGGTGCGCACGAACCAAGCTGGAATTGCTCTGGTAGGCACCTAGAGCAGCAGTACCAATGCCCGGGTCGGGCGGGAAACACCGGTAACCGTCACCCTCATCACTAATAGTCACAGCATACATGGCAGCAAGGATAGCATCAAAGTCAAGATCATAGATAGCTACGCCTGCCCTAGACA